TCAGTACAAACAAAATGCAAAGCAAGGCCCTTCAAATCCATTTCTTCACCTGTCCACCGTTTTTCTTTCTCTGTGTCACAGTGTACTATTATTATTATTAATTTTTTTGGCCCTGGAGTTGTGGTGTATTAAGGTACCATAAATTTCAACTTCTTTAGTAATCCAATATAGTTTTCATAATAGTCTTAGGTTCCCTTGTGAGTGTGATAACAATGTGAAGATAAAAGAGTATGAGTAGCTTAAATATGTCAATGACCAATGAAACCAGTAGACTAATCTTTTGGTTTCAAGATGGTGTCAAAGCATGTGATAGGCCATCAATTTGTCTCCCCAACGTGGTTGCACTATTTTACTTGTTTTTTCTTTTTCTTCATTATTTTTTTCTTTAAAGGACTTTTTACCTGGTCCAAATTTTGAACTGGATCAGAAGAATCTACAGGCTTGGTTGGCAAAGCAGCCTTCACAAGAGCTGAATAATAAACCTTATTAACCATCTTCTTAGATTTAGAATTTTCTTTGCTGGTTTCTTCAACCTCATCAATGTAAGCAACTCGAAGAGATGGGTACCTGACACAACCAAAGTTGGAAGTTTAAACTCCTATGTCTCACAACAGCAAAAAAGCTTTAAAAAAGTTAGGATCACACCTTGTCATAAGCTTTAAGATGTCTTTCGCGCGAGCATCACCAGATCTCTTGTGGATGCCATATTGCTGGCATGACACTACATATGTGAACTTCATGTCAGCTACCGCTTGGCACTGTACCCATACTGACCTTTCACTCTTTGACTGTTGCTCACTTTCTAATTCAGCAGCCTTATAGCCCTTCATTAGATCTGAACAAAAAGCAATTACCAACAAGAAGAATAATTGCCAAAGCAATCAACACTTTAGTTATCCACCTTCATTTTGTACCTTCATCCTTTGCCATATCCAGAAAGGCTTGAAGTTCCATTGCTTTACGGTAATACATCATGCCTCGGACTTATTTATTGGTTGGAGGGGAAAAGAGAAGTGTAGGAAATGAATTATTATCTACAAGAGAAATATTAATAAATAAAAATTTCCAGTTCTAGTTTATACAGGGAAAGCTTCTACCTGTTTTAGTCAATGTTTGGCCTCTATACGATGCCCAGTGACGAAGTTCTTCTTCAAGTTCATCATCTCCTCTAAGTTCTTCTTCACTATTACACTTAACACGTTCAAGGAAGTTTTTCCATTCATCTGTATAAAATCATAATTTAAAACTGGAAACCATTTTCTATGTGCATATTAGCTTGATAACAAAAATATAAAGAAGAAACTAATAAAAAAAAAAGGGGGAAAAAACCTGGAAAAATTTTCTGCAAGTAGAAAAGGATAGAAACCCCGTCTTCATTTGGCTTCTCCAAGGCATTTATGGAGAAAAGAACATCCTCTGAATAGTAGGGAGTCAAGATGCTAGAGAAACCAAAATAGAATACATATGTAAGCTATGAAGTATAAGGTAAGGCAGTTATCTAGAGTATTTATCCACAACAAATAATTGGAGGCTTCAATTGAAAATGGTGTATGCATGTTAAAATTATAGTCCTTACGAGAAGGAAAGCATATTTCGAACTTTTGGTGCAGCAGGCATGTGCATGAACAAGGAATTGGAAAAGAAGGAAATGCGCCTTCTAGCTTCCAAGTTAGATGGGACATCCATAGCAGACTCCTTGACGGTAAGCAAAAGATGAAGCCTTCTAATCTGCAGGCAAAAAGCAATTCCTTTAGTCAGATAGATTGTGAAGTCATTAAAAGTGAGTGGGGAAGGATAAGAATGTGGTTTCTAATGATTCCTCCATTGTTAAGGCTGTGGCTACAACCTTATTAATGCAAAACAAGTTATCTGGTACTGTAAACAAGATGATATTTTGCACTTGTTGAATGTTAATAATGCAGTAAGGTTTACCTTTTCTTTCCAAGCTTCTGTTTCTGTAGTTAAAGGAAATCCAAGTTTGCCAAAATACTGATGTTGTTGATCTAGCGGTGTCATCCCCTCATGCTTTCCACCATGACTTGAATCTAGCAAACTAAACAAGGACAAATATGAATTAATAGTAACAATATGAATATCCTGACACAGGTAAGGAGACAATTATAACCAAATGATTACCTAGGGACCTCATCCTCCATAATATCTCTTGTCACCACCTCCAACATGTCGAGCAAGACAATAACAACTCCATCTTTGTCCTCCTTTCTGTTTGCTAACTGCAATTTTTAAATTGGATTCATTAGGCTTACCATAAACCTTCACACAACATATCAATGTAAAATTTTCATTATTAGGATTTACCAGATATTCAATCAGCTTAACAAACTGTTCATAGAGGCTAGGGAGAGCGCTCATATTTAGTTCTGTTATCAAAGTTTCCTTTTGTATGTGTTCATCAACTTTTGTGAAAATATCATTGATAACCCTACGAATGGTAAATCCTAACATGTTAGGACAGAGATAACATAGATAATTATTTCCTTTTCTATTCTAATAAAGTGAAAAACTTACATTTTTTCCCGCTCACCAAGAACCAGAAAGTTAATGATGCTCTTACAAGAAGCATAGCATTCGCGTACTGCACAACGCATATAATCGTCTGAGTTCAATCTCTTTTTAAGCTCACGATCTTTGCCATTGCTATCTTTTGCCATATCCAATGCTATAGGTATCTGTAGAGAATGTCATTTCAACAATATTATGATCTCAGAAGACTGCCAGGGGAAGTTAAGTTGGCAGAAAATACACCTTGCTAGCAAGGAGAAATGGAGGCCACTGGATAAGGTCCACATCAGGGTCAACCCCATATGGAACAAGTAATAGGTCCATTTCCCTGCATCCAACACAGACGGAAACTTCAGGTTAGATACATACTAGAAAAACTTACCCACAGCACATCATCGGGAGACAGTTTTGTCAGTGATGGATCAAAGATAGTCTATGACCAATGAATTTGTGGCCTCATCAATTTACAACCCTATCACCCATAGAGTGGGTGATAGTCAAACACTATCAACAGTTGTCAGCAATGTTTTACCATTTTTTATTTATGTTTATAACTTTGGTTTTTTTTTTTTTAAGGAAACATATTTCACCTACAATGTCATCCATTTTTTTATTATATATATAAAAGATGAAAAAAAATTCTTTCTTATTTTTGAAAATGGAAACTTTTAAGAGTTTGTTGTTTCGCATCCAATTTGGATGTCAGGGATTTGAGGAGAGGACATTTTCTAATGTGGCACCATTGTTTTACCTGTTATTGATTAGATCTTCCTCTCTGAAACTACTAATTATTTTGTTCCACATCTGCGCAAACTTTGCTGCTTCATTCTCTTTACTAGATGTAATCTGAAACAATAGGTTAATTCATTTTAGAACCAAATAGACAGTAATGAACAGAAAAATCTAAAGGGTGTCAAAATGCTGCTTGAGAGATAATGCCTATTTATTTCTTCAGGCTAATGATACAACCTTATCAAATTTCCTAGAGAATGTAGTTTTCAGTCCTTTCTTCTTGGGTTTCTCACTCTTCTCCACTGGTACTAAGCAGGCATTAAAAGCACCAGGTAAAGATTGAAATCGAGACCTCAACATTGCTAGTGTTCGAATCTGAAATCAAAATAGAAGTAACAATCGCAGCTAAAGCAGTCATGTCAAATGCCTGAACAACCAGGGAATATTTGACAAGAAAAATTAGTCAGACTCGGACAAGATATATCCTCTAGCATAGAACACATCCTTCTAAATGTCTTCCCCTTCTTTTTTTTAGCCAGTTCTTCTAAACGTCTTCATGACAGATTACTGAAAGTTTGATAACAAAGGTGGTACATTTTACTCATTACATAACCATATCGGAGAAAAATAAGACCTTCATTTACTTGACTTGTTTAAAAATTTATGTGAATTTATAAGACGTTAACAAGCCAGCATTGAAATTCATATCTAAAAATAGAAAATATATGGAAAGAAAAATCACATAGGGAAAGTACAAAAGAGCTGCAATTTTTTGTTCATTTTTATTGCATTTCTCTTGCCTGCTTCCACATTATGTTACTAATATAGCAGAACTCAAGCAACTAGCCATAATAACATTTTGTTGTCATTACAGTCAAGTCCAGAACTTAAAAATCTGACTATACAAACGGGATGCTAGAGAGACCGAAGTTATACAAACCTCCCCAAGGCGGTGAAAAGCACCATATATACCTCCAACCAAAGTAGAGAATATTGCATACCAAATTTGACTATCCATAAAGAAAACCTATAAAGAATCACTGCCGTTAAAAGGGAAAATAATTAATCAAAAGAAATAACTGGAAGTGGATAGATCTGTCCACAATATCCATGAACATACAAGAATAATAGGAGCCCAGAGTGCAATAACAACTCCAATGTTGTTCCTGGCTGCAAATAACCAATGATGATGTTACAAAGCATTTCCGAATTACTGAAATGAATAAAAGAGTTCAATTCCTTCATATCATTACCTTGGGGGAAGAACTCATGCCACTTAAAAGTTCTTATCTGAAGTTGCATTATAGTTCTTGTTGGACCAACAAGAGGCTTAATCTGTGCCCATTCCACCAACCACCCATGAATGACGAGGAAAAGGAAAAAGAAAGTACCAAAATTATGGTTTTTTCAAATGCATGAGGGGAAAATGATTTTATCTTATATCTGTTGAGCATTTGAAATTTTTTAAATATGCACATTTCAGGGAATATGCAATTTTAAGTAGGTTATTGGCAAGTTAGAAATTGTAAATCCTAAGATTCATAACTAGTTTAAAATAAATACATAAATAATATGGAAGATGGCACCAACACTGAGAAGCAATTTAAGCTGATATTGTTCTCTTTCTATAAATGTTTCTAGTATCTTTTCAGAATCAACAATTCAATAGGCATCCTAGTTGAAAAAGCTTATTTCTAACGTGTTGAAAAAAATGTTCTAGCTGAATAAGCTACAGTTAGAAATCTTAATGGCGTGCACATGCATAGTTAAATTAAATACAAAATCAGAAAACCACATGCAGAAGAACACTACCAGTAGTATTAACAGGTTGCAATGTAAAAAAATTTGAGGCTAAAATTTTGGAGCAAAGGGGGAGCCATTGAAATAATAACAAACTAGCATATAGATTTCACTTCACTATCCACTATATTAAATTCTATATTATTTAATTTTCCCACTAAATAAAAACTGTGTGTCATTTTTACCCTGCCGGACCCAAAATAGATAGTATATAAATGAACATCATGACCGTATATTCGTCTGGTCATCAATCACCAATGAGATTGGCAAGTCTCAAATGGTCCCCAAAAAACTACCAGCATTTTGGAACTATGTCTACAACCAGTCCATGTTGTGCTCCGCTTAATGGCAGAATAACCAGAATTATAAATTACATAGTTTTTTATGAGAAATACCTCAACATAATAACTGAAGGCTAACTTTGATACTATTAGGAGAACCCAAAACAGAGTGTACCTGCATACGGCAGGATTCAAAAGTTAAAAAATAATTCAAGCCATATCCACCCAAGTGTACAACTGTCTGGTCTTACTTGAAAAGCGAAGTGAAGCTCTCATGCATTCCCCTTCCAACATAGAGCCGAGGCTGCAAGATATACAGGAAAGTAAGTTAGATGATTAAGCAGCTGGCAATGTCATGTACTAATTTGATGTAGACACAATATAATCATTCAAAAGTATGTTGAGCAGGTTTATGCTTACTTGAGACCACCACATCATGAGCATCACAATCCTATAGTTTGACCTTTCAAGAAACCGGCGAATGAATGGAAACAAAAATAACAGCACCGAGAGCATGTTTGGAGATAGGTAGATAAGAATAGCCAAGATGAACAATGAAGGTGAACCTGAACTATTTCCAAACCAATTCTTAATGGTCTGAGCAATTCCAGAAGGATTTTTCCAACTATAGGCATAAGTTATTGGCAAAATTAAGACCCATGCTGCAGCTGAAAGAGCCTTCAAAATATATCTTATCTTGACATGAAATGACATACACCGTCTTGCTTGCCAGCTCAGTATTATATCAAGAACACCTGCAATATTTAATTGAAGTTAAAAAAAAACTATTGTAGATGAATAGTGCAAGATACACAACCATAGTTTAAAGGAATGACATAAAAATTAAAACTGCAAGACTATACCAGTAACCGAATCAGTTAAAATAGTGTGATTTTTCTACCTTGTGCAAACTTCAGTATTGCAGCAGTTATGAAGATACTCAAGACTTTTTTGAAAACATCACCCTCAAATATGGAACTTAGCTCCCCCGATCCATTCGAAGCAATGATGATCATTGCCTTACATAAACAAAGTGTATTAACATATTTTACAGCATTAAATGCCATAAGATGATTTGTGAAAGAAACTAAAAAAATGGCATAAATAAGGAGAGCACCTGTAAACACAAAATATAGAAGCTCCACATTCTATTAAAACTTCTAAAAATATGCCAAAATGTTCGTATTTCAACGAAGTTAATCTTGCCAAGCCATTGATTTGATATAGTCAGCTTCTTATCCTGAAAAAAAATTATTATTTATCATGAGAAATGTTTATTTAGGAGCTAACTGAGGCTAAAATTAATGGCACTACCTCAGTTGCCTTGAAAAAGGAATTAACAGTAAAAAAAAAGAGAAAAAAATCAATGGTGTTTGTCAAAAAGAACAATAGCCTACAATAAGAACTATACTGCCCACCTCATCTTTCTCATTCCAAATTTCATTTAGGGGCACGTGAAAGAAATTAGCATCAGCGCGCATGGGCCAACCAAGGCGAAAACAATCAACTGACCTGCATTTTTTCAATGAACATGATAAATTAAAGAGGAAGTCATAAAAAGTAATAGTAAAAGAAAAAGAAAAGAGCAATACCAAAAATATTCATTTAAATCATCATAGTTTCTCCATTGAGAATGCTTCAATTTTCCTGCTTTACTCCTTTTTGCTTCCTGCAATAAACATAATGTATGGTAACAGAAAGGAAGCAACCAAAAGCAATAGTGGAAGAGATGAAACTTCATGGTCATAATAACCAAAAAAAAAAGGGAAAAACACCTTTGCTATTATATCATATATTGGAGTCACTACTTTCCTCAAGAAAGCCTCTGTTTCACCACCATAGGCAGGTTTTATGTGCTCGCCTGTCATTGGACTGACACTTCCAGCCAGCATCCCATACAATTCAAATGCCATCTAGACATTCCGGAAAGTAAGAATGAAAAATCAAAGTTCAATCTCTTTTTTCTTAATCATGATATGAAAAGAAGAGCAAAATCTCAAGGCATACATGATGATAAATATAACAGAGGCATTCTGGCATAAATCTCAAGTTAGCAGCTTCTCCCCATATGAGCAGATATAAAGCCATGTATAGCAATTTCCTTTGCTGCACTTCCTGTTGAATGGTTGGTAACCTGCCAGTTAACAGCAAAATGGACACTTTAAGATTAAGAAAAAAACAGTCAATAATAATAATGAGAAAATAAAAACAAGGAGAGAGGGAGAAATGCAGAAAATGACTAGAACATAAAAGAAAGTAAGACAGAATCAAAACAGTTCTTAGATTCAAGAGCTTCCCCCATTAGGAACTGAAGCAAAAGAAAACAGTAGGCCAGGCAAGTAGAGATGCCCATCTGATTATAATTCAGCATTACCATAACAACAACAACAATGACAATAATAAAGCCTATTTCTTGGCTTGCATGTGAAATCCTTACCAAAGGCTGCTTTTTCGACCTAAATACTTGCACCATTTTTTGTAGTTTTTGAAAAGTTTCTTCATTACTTCATTCAGTGCACGCTCATCCAACTAAATGTGAAAAATTTTTGGGATTGTTAACTGCAAGTAAAGATTAGTTTGTAAAACAACAGAAGGCCTGAGAAGAATCAAGGAGGACCTTGGGCTGTTGATCAGGGTTTGGAACATGTCGGATGTGCACATTTGCTAGCAACAGAATTAAGTGCTCCCTTTGATTTGCCACATTATCCCTCTGCATATAAATTATAGTGTGAATACTAATCATAATAAACCATATAACTGAAGCATTAAGAAGTTGGTGAATCACCTGAAAGCCAAACAGAATCTGCAACCAGTCAAGGATGTCTTCATTTACTTTTTTATTGTGGTTGTTTGGCCAGGGTAAGCCCCTGGTGTTGCGAAGAGCAGTAACAACAGCTATAATCTGTAAAATTTAGTAAGAAACTTATGAACTGGGAAAATAATCTAAAGGCAAATAACTCCATAGAATTAAATAAGAACCAACCTCAGGATATCTCATGATATCCTGATTTTGGCTATCAGGATCAAGCGGAAGAATATTATAAGGCACATATATTTGTGTTTTCTCTGCAACCTCAGTGTGAGCTTCCAATATCTACAAGAAGAAGAAATAGATATTGAAAAGCAAAATTACAGGCGAGTGATAAAGGAAGGCAGATGGTAACACGGTAAGTAGTTACAGTTTTCTTGACCTCACCTCATCAGCTACTTCCACTTCTTCTGTCTGATTGACAGCCTTCAAAACATCAAAAAGGACAGCAGCCGTTTGATATGCTTTTATAAGTTGGGCACTGAGAATGAGATATGTATGATAAGGCCAAGTGTAAGGAAAACAAACAAACAAACAGACTAACAATCAAACCTATAATTAGTAAATTTGGTGAGAGAACAAACCGATCGGCTTTATCAGCAGCATTTTGCAAAGCTTGAATGTACTTCTTGTAGTAATGTTGATAAAAGCTCTGCATTTCACGAGCGTCACTCTTTTGCTTTCCTGCCAACGTTGTTTCATTTTCCTGAAGAACAATCAAAGGCAAACGACCCTTTACTGTATGACTAAACCAACTTACCCTAAACTAAAGAGGAAATTTCCAACGGAAAGTTAGATGATTTGTGAAGGAAAACATTCTGGTCTGCTTGAAGGATGTATGTATGTTACCTAAAAAAAAAAAAAGAAAAAGAAAAAAGAGAAGAAATTAAAGGATATTTTACCCTTTCTAGACGTTGAAGAAGGGCAGTTTTAAATTGTCGAACACCACGTCCGCTTGATGTTGGATCTAATCTGTGTGCCTTTTCAAATGCATAGAACCGACCTACGCCCACAAAAGCATTCAGATTTTCACATAGTTCGATCAGAGCTTTATGCATATATATATATATATCTGAATATTTAATAAGAGGAGGATCGAGTTCGCTTTGCTAATTAATATTCGCTAAACTCACAGAGATAAGCAACTCTTGGATTGCTGGCCTCCACTTCATTAGCAACACGGAGGATGGGTGCTATGTCAACTAAAGAAGAAGGCACCACCTCACTGTCCAACATCGCCTCTCCTAAATTCCCTGCAGTTTGAGTCCGCAGAATCCGCCTCTGCGGCTGCTGCTGCTGCTGCTCTGACATTCTTCTCTGAGACATCTTTGGAGCCTAGCCTAGCCTAGCCTAGCCTAGCTGCCAAAAATCAACTCAAGTCTCGAACTGATTTCCTTTCCCTCACCTGCTGCAAACACACAAAAAAACACTCTAAAGCTTTCAAGGGTATTTACAAAAACACTATATATATGTTTACTATATATGGGTGACTATGTTGGGTTGTTTGATATCGAGCATCTGTTAGCAACCAAAGAAACAAAAACTTGAGAGTAGTTTTTTTTTACCATATATAATAATAAAGATATATAGAGCTTGAAGAAAAAGGTTTGCTTAGCCTAGCCCCAAGCAAAAGTAAGAAATATTTCTGGAGACTGATGATGAGAAGGAGAACTGTATGATCAGATAAACTCGGTAGCGGCCGACCATAAAACAATGGGACGAAAGGGAGCAGGTTTGCCCTTACTAGTCTTGTGCAAACTGCCAAATAATTAAAAGCTAAAAAAGACCACAACTCGAATCGCGAAAGATAGCGTATCTCTTTTGTCTTGCCAAAGCTTTAAGTCAATTGAAAAAAAGACTAGCAAAGCAATTGGACCAGTTGTATGATGATCGATATACCAATGTTACGGATACGTTGCGTCACTAAGATGAAATAAATGCTAACAATAATTGAAAGTTTTACTGTTGGAACCCATGAAAACCTTCTATATTGACATGGATGTTGGCCCCCATTTATATTTAGACCAGCGGGAGTGTGACATGCATCCTATCTCGAAATATGAACCTTACAACACGTAAGAGCATCTCCAGCAGGTTTAGAGGGCCCATTGATTGAACACACTGGCAAAAAAATAAAAAAGAACAAAAGGGTTAAACCCTTAATTTGGTCCCTCAACTATTATATGAAGCTCTAATTTAGTCTTTAAACTTAAAAAATCCTTAATTTAATCCCTTAAGATTGAAATTTTGGCTCTTTTAGTCCTTCCGTTTATTTTTAGCTGACATGGAGCGATGGTTAACGGTAGAATCATTTTTCTTTCACAACAGCAATGACGTGGAAATGACGTGGACAAAAAAAAAGGGTCAATATTAACATTTTATTTTTCCAATACGCGGGTCTCAATCAATTAGTTTAATAATTAAAAACTCATATCTATCTTTAATCCAATTAATTGATCACTCTTAAACAATCATCATAAATGCAATTAATAAAAATTTATTCACTGTCTGTCGCTCCTTCTTTCTCTCTTCTCTCTCATCTCCGGTCATCTTCTCCTTCTACAGTCATCTTCTCCTTCTACAGTGGATGTCTCTTATCATCAAAACCATATCTGTCTGTAAGGATAGGTCCGAGGTGCCAAACCTCGAACTGCTATAGTAATTCCTTTATGACCGAAGTGAGGAATAAATCTAAAGCTTCCCGCTTAAATGGCTGCACGACAAGGACAATAAGCATGCCTGTACTTGATCCCTTACGATGAGCGGCACAGTAAGTATGGTGGACGCTCGTGCACCTGGATACCTCTCAAATTCCCGGTCCCGGAATAATCGTCTGGATGGACACGTCAGGCTCCGATTATCTTGCTTGGCATGACACGTGGGTTCCTCATTAAATCCTATAAATACCCCCTTCGGGCCACGTCAAAAGGTAATTGAAACCAACCCTAAGTTTCTTTTATCTCCGCCCTAAAGGTAGCCCCGATTATTGCTGACTTAAGCATCGGAGTGTCTACCCCGAGTTCAACCTCGGGGCTTTGCAGGTCATCTCGGAGTGCAAACGCGGACTGAAGAAGGACTTCTGGTTTGGTGCAATTACATTGGCGCCGTCTGTGGGAATTGAACTGAAAGCTCTCTAGTTGCTCTTCCGTCATGGTTCACACTCGATCAATCCGAGCTAGTAATTCATCTCTGCCTCATGGGCAAGGTCAACCCCCCAACAACCTTCCACCTCTGATCCCACCTCAAATCCAACCTCAGCTTCCACCTCAGGTCCCAACCATATTCCCTCCTGTTGATCATGCAGAAGGAGGAGATGAAAACCAACCCCATACCTCAGCTCACAATTCAACTTCCACTGCCAACCAAGACGTGGTGACAGCTCAGCTTGCTACCATGCAGCAGCAGTTTGGCGTTTTTCAGTTGGTACTGGCTCAGTTTTTAGCTAGAAATAATCCTGGTGATCCCCTCATTAATTTACTAAATCCTGCTCAACAACCCCCAGCTCCACAACAGAATCCCCAACCAGTTCAACCTGCTCCCGCTATTAGCGAATCTCAGGATCAATCCCACATAGCACCCGCTCAGCAACCCATCCCTGATGATGTTACTCGTCTCCTTGATAGCTTAGAAAAGCTAGTAGCTAAACACCGAGGTGTTCCACCCCCACACCATACTGTCGATTCCATACCTCACCCCTTGAATACCAACATCACACTGGAACCCTATCCTACTGGCTTCAAAATACCACAACTAGAGACTTATGATGGGACGAAAGATCCCGATGATCACTTGCATGCTTTCTACTCTTGTATGCAAGCCCAGAATGCCTCTGACGCGTTAATGTGCAAAATCTTTCCCTCTACTCTGCGAGGTAATACTCGAACTTGGTATTATAGTCTACCTCCGAGGTCAATTAGTTCTTACACAGAAATGGCATCTGCTTTCACCACTAAGTTTTCCAATAGAAGGTTGATTAGGAAAACTACTACCGAATTGATGCGAGTTAAACAGAGGGACGGAGAGTCCCTGAAGAACTACATGAGCAGGTTCAATGATGCGGTGTTGGAGGTCAGTTCCTTCGACCAAGCTGTGGGCATTGCAGCTGTAATCTCTGGTCTCAAACATGACAGGTTCCGAGACAGTTTGATCAAACATGCTGCCACCACCTTTAGCGAGGTAAATGATCGGTCTCTGAAATTTATAACTGCTGAGGAATACGCCCTGGCGCAAAACCCACCTTCCTCTAAGAGCCAGAACCCAGAATGGAGAGATGACAACCCGAGCCGAAAAAGGATGAGAATGGCGCAGAACCGAGGTCCAGTGTTGACCTCCCCGCCGAGATTCGGAAGGCCGAACTCCACGCCCTCACAACAATCTGCAGGTAAACCTCCAGTTAATTGGACTCCATTTAATTTGCCGAGGTCACAAATTTTTATGCAGATCAAAAATAAGATGGACTTGAGACGTCCCGGCCCAATGTGAACTGCTGCTGCTAGTCGAGACCATACCAGATATTGTGATTTTCACCAGGATCACGGCCATACTACAGAGCAGTGTAACAGTTTAAAGTCCGAACTGGAAAGTTTAGCTCAGAAGGGAATGCTGAATGAGTATGTACAGCGAGCTGAACAGTCGAGGTTTGTCAGAGAATAGAGGCCGCAGCCTCAAGGAGTCTGCAATTCCCCAAATAGGCAAGGTGTGGGATATCAGCAAACCCCACCTCCACTCCCACCACCAGCTAGAATCATACATATGATTACGGGAGGCCTTGAAGCAGGTGGACTGAGCTCTAAGCAGCGAAAGCTGTATGTTAGGGAGGTTAAACATCAAAACCGAGCTCAGAAACAAAAGATTGACGATGCTGAATGGAAAAATCAACCCATTACTTTCACATCTGCTGATCTTGATACAGTTGTTACACCCCACAGTGATCCATTGGTCACTTCTGTCATGATTAACAACTGTGAAGTACAGCGTGTCCTTGTTGATATCGGGAGTGCACCAGACATCATGTACTTCCACTGTTTCGAGAGTCTGGGATTAGATCCAGCATTGTTGCAGAAGTATGATGGTCCTATCTATGGTT